CTGGAAGGATGAGATAAAGGAACTAACTCCCAGTGGTACTAATCCAGAAAAAAAGAATTCACTTCAAATTACCCAGAATCAAGAAATGGAACTGCAAAGCAATAAAGCCAATTTCAAGCTGAGTAATGAACTCTAATCTAAAGACTATACATATATTAGATGCAAACCAATGTGGGAATGTGCTATTTGGATACAGGTCTATGGGGAGCTGCACTTTTTTGTCAGTCAATTAAGCATTGTTGGTCTGTTATCTGGATGGGTGAATGTGTGGACAGCCTTGCCTGCTGCATGGGACACCTAAATAAAATTAAGAAGCTTATTGTCCCAGACACCGATATATTTATACCAGAAAAATAGAAACCCCAGTGAGGCAATGGTAACACACTCACCCTGAACTTTGTGAGCGTTTTGGCCTAGGTTTGTATCCTGGCCAGGGAGGATTGAATAAACTGTTGACACTTTATCTACTAACCCATGAGATATCAAGTTAGAATGGTTATGTCACGTACATATTAATATCACTAACATTACTAACTCCTCAAAGAGAACGGATTTGATAGCATTCCAGAGAGAATGGGATGTTGCCACGTATGCAAAATCCACTATGTGTATAATCAATCAATCAATCAATCAATATCTCTCTCTCTCCCAGACGCTGCCTTAATCGACTGAGCTACGACATGGTAAAATAATTGCAAATGGGAAATCGTCCTGATTTACCAACGGATCCTGCAGTCTCTCAGACAAACCAGGGTTGGTAAATCAGGACGATTTCCCAGTTGCAATTCTTTCCCATGTTGTAGCTCAGTCAATTAAGGCAGCGTCTGGGATCCTCTCAGACGTAGGTTCAAACTCTCGTCCTGGCCCTTGTGGATTTGTTCATTTAATGCATCATGCTATTGTGATTTCTGTGTGTAATGAAGTAAGGGCGAAGATGTAGAACAGCCTATTGACATAGCTCAGGTGCATGGGGGAATTGTGTAAAACCCTGGTTTGTCTCTCGAAGAGATTGCAGGATCCATTGGTAAATCAGGATGATTTCCCAGTTGCAATTCTTTTCCATGTCGAAGCTCAGTCGATTAAGGCAGTATCTGGGATCCTCTCGGATGTAGGTTTGAACCCTCGTCACAGCCCTTATGAATTTGTTCATTTGATGCATCACGCTATTGAGATTTCTGTGTGTACATCAAGTGAGGGCTCGGGTAGGCGCCACGGCACTGAACCTCGAAAAACCCGAAGAGGAATCCGGCAACACAGCAGCCAACGCAAGGCTCCCGGGGTCCGAACTCAGCGATTGCGAGAGTGGCGGAAGGGATGTCCCCGAAAGAACCAGAACAGCCGTCGAAGCCAGATCCGACCCAACGGTTGGACCAGCACGGTGAAGTTTGGATTCCTGCACAGCTGCTCAAACGAATGACCCGGGGTGCCACCCAAAAACAGTCGAAGTTGGGACCACAGCCACAGCAACGAAAAAGAAGCACCCCACAAAAGCACAATGTTCCCAAGAGAACAGAACCAGCCACTATGCGTATATTAGACAGCTACACAGTACCTTGCTCCCCAGCCAGCAACGATACTACCTCCTACCCAAGGCCAAACAATGGTAGGAAAAAACCCAGCTGACCCCGAACAGTTTGTGGGAAGGTAGCCCCAAATTGCAAGGGAAGTACTTACAGGGCACCTAGGGAAGGTGACCCTAGGCACATGCTCAGTACTTCTTAAATTACACCTGGCTCGCACACCACCACACTGCAGCACACCATCACAAGGCACAACACTGCTCAAGGATTGGAGCCAGAGTTGATCGACTTCCACCCAACATAACAGCCTCAGAACTGGGGTTGGGTAGCCAGTACAGGAGGGGGGAGCTGCACAGACAGTGGCACGGTGGCTGTGGCAACATCATGCTTGTTTGCTTGTTTTCTAATTGGGGAGTTCTGCCTGCTCGTTCAGTTTTCAGTTTGCAAATATTTAACTAGCTGTAGTTTGTTGACTACAAACAAACAGTTTGTAGTCAACAAACTTGTAATTGTTTGTTTGTTGTCTAGTTTTAACTAGACTGTTGCCACGGCCTAATATATACACATCAGACCTGTATAGCTCTGGGATTCCAAAGGGGCTCTTCACAGAAAAGTACTTATTAATAGTTAATTTATCTAAATATACAGTAAATCAAGCATCTCCCTCCCCACGTCAAAAATGACGAGTTTTGAACAAAGATGAGGAAGCGTTCTCAGCTGAAGAGGGAATGCGACACCATTAGACTGGAAGCACGCAACCTGAGCGCTTGGCAGAGAAGACACTTGCAAGTTTTTATCTCTTAATTGCCAATCATAGTCACATTTTCCGATATCTTGACACAGGGATATTAGCATTTCCAACCAACCAAGAAACTCATCGTACCAGGGAAGTGTTATTTCCAAGGAATTGTTGTAGTTTATATTAGTGGCCATTATCATGATCTCTTTAGCATTGCCCTGTTACGATGCATGTGCTCTAACCAAAATGGGTAATCCTAATTATTAATGACTAACTTGTAAAACTGCTTATATCTGCCAGGTATAAACTTGGAGAATTGTATTCCATTTGTTTATTTAGTTAAAATTACTATCTGCTATTCTGTTGCAATTTCTGCTGTTCCATTCAACATGTAATTAATGCCATTCATTTTTTCTACTTCAGTTCAATTGTTGCTTTTGATTTCAATTAGTTTTAAGTCTTACTTTTTAAGTTTATTTTCCACATCTTGCCCGAAACACTGTATATTAGTGTCTTTAATTCAACATAATTTAAGCATAGTATATACTTGCTCTATTAGAAATCCACCATTCTGCTTGTAAGTCATGTTGTATGTACAGTATGTACTTTTCATTAAATAAAAAAAAAATATGTTGGACATAGGCCAGTGGAGCACTGCATTACTTTACAATATTAAGATAAAGACTTAAAACATAAAAGATGACGAGGCTCTGCATTATTTTTATACTACTGTACAAAACTTCTAAAACATTGACATTCCCTCTTTCACTCAATCTATTGAGTGAAAAAAGGGATTGAAGGATAGGAACTATCTTTCAACCATAGAACAATAGACTAAAGGAAAGGAACTACTGTATCAGGAAGAAGTGCCAAGTCATTACGACTATATAGCAACTGGAAGGGGTCAGGATAAGGATTTGGGATAGGACGGGGAAAGGAATGGTGCCCAACCACTTGGACTGGACGGTAGAGCAACGGTCTCGCTTCATGCAGGTCGGCGTTCAATTCCCAACCATCCAAGTGGTTTGGCACGATTCCTAACTCCCCCCCCCCCACCAGTCTCATCCCAAATCCATATCCTGACCCCTTCCAAAGGGCTATAGAGTCATAAGTTTAGTGCTTCCTCCTGATAGTTCCCTTTCTTCAATCTATTTCATGACTAAGGTTTCAAAATTAAGGACATTTTTGGCCCCTTCCTAATAAGATACTGGTAAGACACTCACTCGGTGCTTCGCGAGTGCTTATGCATTGGATTTGTATCCTGGCGGGGAAGGATTGACTGGGCACCAGTCCTTAACTGTAGCCTCTGTTCACCCAGCAGTGCATGGGTGCCTGGTTGTTAAACGACTTGGCAGGACGTATTCCAGGGAAAATTAGGATTAAGGACTTGCCCAAAATGTTATGTGTGCGCAAGTGGCTGTTCAAGAATGTAAGAACTCTTGTACATACAGTACTGTATAAATAAATAATGAGGATATGTTACACTGTACACATTAAGGTTCACCAACAAATGTTAAAATCTACCTAACCTGTAGACACCTGAGCCTAACAAAATAAGGCAGCCAAATCTAATAATGTAGACAGGTTTTAACAGAGAAAATGAGTTTTTTTTAATCGTCTTGTGTATGATTTAATCATACCCGTTGATGAGGCCTGTAACCTCATGCTTGACACAGGCAGCTCACATCAGATTGTACCAGAGATCAATTCTCAAACATAAGAATTTTGAGCATGTTATTTACAGACAATGCCTTTGTTAGCCTAGTAGTAAATACTATAAGTACCTGAGTTTCTTGACTGTTGTGGGTTGCATCTTGGAGAAGGCGAGTAGTCACCCAGAGCAACCTTGATAAGTAACTTTCAATAAGGTGCCAAGATGGGAGAACTATACTACAGTGGCGCCTCGATTAATGAATGTAATCCGTTCCGTCACTGAGCTCGTCATGTGGAAAACTCGTTTTGCGAAACAACAACACTGTCGTCGGAGGTGTCCGAGAACCAGTGGGAATGCTCGTTATCGAGCGAAAGCTCGTCAGTCGAGACAAATTTTCTGCGAGTAGTTTCCTCGTTACTCAAAATACTCGTAACTGGAGTCGCTCGTCACTCGTAGTTCCACTGTACTACTACTAATAATAATAATAATTCAAATGAATATGAGTACAAAGAGCATAAATGTAATGTAGAATTATAGGGAGAGGAGTTACACATACTAATGAAGCCACTATTACAAAAAACATTTCGGGCAAACTATGCTCAAATACTACACCAGTAAAATAAGACTAACAAACTTCCTGTCCGTGACAATGGGGACCCCATGACACCACACACACACACACCACACTCTCCCACTATAGCAATTATACCATGGTCAAGTGTTAAGCCTCTTTAGGGCAAAAATTAGGAGAGAAACGGCCCGAAACTTTAATTCCACCCCATAAGTACACAACCTAAGCCTGGCCATTTTATCACACCTATGTTAGTGTTGGGTCAATTCATCAGGACAAATGAAGGGGGGGGAGGGACTTTCGACAAGCTGCCGGCTTCCTGTCCTCGTCGAGGCCACTAGCGTTAGTGGCCCTCAGGTAAATTCAGGTAAATTTAGCAGAGGGTCACACCACCACCACCCCGCCCCATTTCGACCTGTAACATCTTAACGTCTAACAAGAGAGTGTCTGATCATGTCACCTTACAAGAAAACACTCTCATATGTACAGGAATATAAAAATAACTGAGCGGCAAACCTTTTAAATGCATAAAAAGGCAATCTCAAGTTGGGACAATCAATGGCCCCAGCTCCCGGCGCCTGAGGTGTCAACACTGACCATTTTCTCTCTCAGCCTCGCCGGGTCTGGCCACGGACTGGATGGGACCTCTCTATATAAACATTTATCACGGTGACCAACTATTTGAGCAATAATAAATTAATTAAACTAACTAAAGAGTGGGGAATATATGAATATAATAAAATGTAAGAATATTATAATTATTTTGGGAATATTATAATTATTTGGGCCTGAAGCCAATATGGCTTCAGGCCCAAAAAAAGCACTAACGATGCACTTATTAGTATGCTTAACTCGATTCATACAGCTCTTGATAAAAATGAGTTCCCTGTTGGGTTATTTGTGGACCTGCGTAAAGCTTTCGATACTGTCAACCACCAAAACCTTCTTCTTAAATTACATCATTATGGTGTCAGAGGACACTCCCTACAATACCTCAAATCCTACCTTACTGACAGGCTCCAATGTGTTTCTGTGAATAATACAATTTCTCCCACCCTACCCATCAACATTGGTGTTCCCCAGGGCAGCATACTTGGCCCTCTCCTCTTTCTCATCTACATTAATGACCTTCCAAATGCCTCCCAACACCTCAAACCAATCCTATTTGCTGACGACACAACCTTCATTTACTCCAGTCCTGATCCCCTTGCTCTAAATGCCACAGTAAATACTGAGCTAAATAAAGTCCATCTGTGGCTAACTGCCAACAAACTCACCCTTAACATTGACAAAACTTTCTATATTCTGTTTGGCAATAAATCCTCTAATCAAATAAATCTCAAAATAAACAATACCCAAATTTGTAACAAATTAGATGGCAAATTCCTGGGCATTCTCATTGGCCACAAGCTGAATTTCCAGGGACACATTCTAAACATATCTAAAAAAGTTTCAAAAACTGTGGGCATTCTTTCTAAGATCAGATATTATGTACCACGCCCTGCCCTGGTGACTCTCTATTACTCCCTTATCTATCCATATCTCAACTATGGTATTTGTGCTTGGGGCTCTACTACCCAAAATCATTTACGTCCTCTAATTACTCAACACAAAGCTGCTATTAGGACAATATCCAATTCTGGCCCCAGACATCACTCGGTACCCCTATTCAAATCCCTGAATATGTTAGACATTAAGTCACTGCACATTCTCTCATGTTGTACTATACATATACAAAACGCTAAATTGTAATGCCAATCCTGATCTCAAAAGCTTCATAGAAGGTTGTAACAGAACCCATGAGCACCACACCAGAAATAAATACAGTTTTGATATTCCTAGAGTACGACTTAATCAAACTAGAAATGCTCTACAAATCAAGGGGCCCAGAATGTGGAATGACCTTCCCAACCATGTTAAAGACAGTACCTCTCTCAACCAGTTTAAGATAAAAACTAAACACTACCTAATAAATTCCCTGTAACCTACCTCACTCCTCTATTGTCAACCCATGTCCGTTATTTTCTTTTTTTTTAATCAACACTGTTTGTCAACCTATTGTATTTGTGCTGCTGTTTGTCAACCTATTGTATTCGTGTTTTTTTAATCAACACTGTTTGTCAACCTATAGTATTTGTGCTGCTTTTTCAGTCATGTTCCCCCTTTTTTTTTTATCTTTATTTGTATTTGTTCTCAACACTTTTTATTCTTTATGCTCAATTAGTATTAAGTTCTAGATATTAATGTTTTTCTTGCCCGAAACGCATTGCGTAATAGTGGCTTTAGGCATTGTATGTACTAGCTCTATCTATATATCAATCCATTAATGTAACATCACTTGTATGTATATACCTTACCTGAATAAACATCTGAATCTGAATCTGAATCTGAATTTTCATATTTTTTTTTCATTAATTAAATTTTTTAATTAATTAATTTCATTTTCATTAATTTTTTCATATCTAGTTCTTTTATAATTGCCTTTTTTGTTTTTTTTCTGTAAAACAGTCCTCTTATGCAAACTATTATAGACCCAGACCTTAACCTCTTATCTAGTATCTATGACAATCATCACTTTAGTTAGTTAGTTTAGTTCCTTTATTATGCACCCCATACCCATCCCGTGGGCGGTAGTGGAAAGGGTTACAGAGGCACATAATGGGTTCAGGGACTGAACCCCACAATTCATTTAGCAAGTTACAATCTTGATGAGCTAGTTACAAAATTCAATATAAGTCGTCACATCAACAATGGGTTCGAGATCGACCTCAAGTACAGGTTCTAAATTAATAAGCAACTGACATATGTGGAGAGCTAGTGTCACAATTTATATGTTTGTAATGCACACCGCCCCCCATCCAATGCGCAGCGGTGGATAGGTTACAATCACTCAGTTACTACCTACAGTTACCAAACTGGGGATATTTGGCTAAAATTTCTGGTAGCAGATCATTTTGAATGAAATATTGACACATCGCTGGAACGTTGGTTATAGAATTGTCTCTAAATTCACGTATCTTTTCGCACTCCATCACATAGTGACGGAGGGTGTGCGAATAATTTTGTTGACACAGTTTACATTTGGTTAGGTCTACATCAGCAGATAATGAGAATTCCCAGAGATACTTGTAACCAAGTCTAAGCCGAGCAGTAGTAACATCTAGAAGTCTGCTGATTTTATTGGATGATCCATAGATGTGTGGCTCCTCTTGCATGATAGTATGATGATAGATGGAATTACTGGTGTCAATTTCACTTTGCCTCAGATCTACAAGATCTTGTTGAAGTTCTCGGTGTACGGCTGCTCTCAGATTGTTCATTGACAATCCAAGGATACACTCAACGGCTCCTTTAAAGGGAGATTCTTTGGCTAACTTATCAGCTCTATCATGCATTCGGAGGCCAACATGAGATGGAGACAACATGAAATGGACTCTGTTACCATCTTTAGTAATTTTGTTGTATTTGTGTCTAGCTTCGGACACGAGCATGTTAGTTATGTTTTAAAGAGTTGAGAGCATTTAAGGATGATAAGGAGTCACTTACAATTAATGTATCAAGTTTGGAGACTTGTACACATTTCAGTGCAAGGAGCAAGGCAAATAGTTCAGTCTGAAGGGTAGAGGCCCAGTTGTTTATACGGACTCCCCACTCAAAGTACAAGCCACCGCCCATTGTCAGAACAACTGCACTTCCAGCTGCACCCGTGGTGCGGTGTAGGGAACCATCAGTGTATATGATTTGAGAGAGAGAATGCTTTGTGGACAGAGCATCAATATGCCTTAAGGCGTTAAGCTTTGCCTCAAGACGAAGCTTGGGCTGATCTCTAATTGCCTCTTGGGTGGAAAGGGAGGGATTAAAACTGGAAAGGGTGTAATCTCCCACGGTGCAGGAAAGTGCCGTTGTTGTTTCTCTTGGTACAAATCATGAACCTGATACATTCTGAGTTGAGTTCCAGTTTTTGTTATCCATTTGGAACAATGCTGATCTTCAATAAAGAAATTCTGGAGGGCTTCTGTGCAAGGATTAGGATGAGTTAGCCTAAGCATTTTTATACCAATTTGACAGTTAATTTCAGTAACACGATCAACAACGCTCAGAATATTAAGTTCCTTTCTCATATTAAGTATCTTTGTGGTACGAGGGCACCCAAGGATTATCCTCAAGGCTTCGTTCTGCAATTTTTCAAGCCCTCCAAGCTTTCTTTCAGGCATCAAAACAAGCAGAGGTGCAGCATAATCCACTAAAGATCTGATGTGTGCAAGGTACATCATTTTTTGATGGTACATTACTACATCACATGAAGGTACATTACTAATCAAGCTGTCAATGTAATCAATCAGAGCTTTAATATAACAATGTGCTTTAATATACTTACTAAGCTCTCTCATCTCATTTTTCTCTTGCAATGTATCTTTGTCATTTATCAATTCTGATAGAAATTACCTACTTAAAATTATCTGTTAGATTAAGGACCTGCCCGAAACGCTGCGCGTACTAGTGGCTTTACAAGAGTGTAAATACTGTACTATCCAATGTATTCTCACAAACCCAATGTAATAATAATAATAATATAATAATAATCTTTATTTAGGTAAGGTACATACATAAAGAGATTTACAAAGTTTGTTGGCTTTATAGATAGAGCTAGTACATACAATGCCTAAAGCCACTATTACGCAAAGCGTTTCGGGCAGGAAAAACATTAATGACTACAGCTTAAAACTAATGGGTAAAAAGAAAAGATGTGATGAGTACATATAAAAAATAGAGGTAAAAGAGGGGGGAACATTGTTGAAAAAGCAGCACAAATACAATTACAAATTATTACAGAAAATTACCTTCAAACAGCGTTGATTTGAAAAACAAAAAAACAAAAAATATACATGGGTTGACAACAGGGGGGTAAGGTGGGTTACATGGAATTTATTAGGTATAGCTTCGTTTTTAACTTAAACTGGTTGAGAGAGGTACAGTCTTTAACATGGTTGGGAAGGTCATTCCACATTCTGGGCCCCTTGATTTGTAGAGCATTTCTGGTTTGATTTAGTCGTACTCTAGGAATATCAAAACTGTATTTATTTCTGGTGTGGTGCTCATGGGTTCTGTTACAACCTTCTATGAAGCTTTTGAGATCAGGATTGGCATTATAGTTTAGCGTTTTATATATGTATAATACACATGAGAGAATGTGCAGTGACTTAATGTCTAACATATTCAGAGATTTGAGTAGGGGTACCGAGTGATGTCTGGGGCCAGAATTGGATATTGTCCTAATAGCAGCTTTGTGTTGAGTAATTAGAGGACGTGAGTGATTTTGGGTAGTAGAGCCCCAAGCACAAATACCATAGTTGAGATATGGATAGATAAGGGAGTAATAGAGAGTCACCAGGGCAGGGCGTGGTACATAATATCTGATCTTAGAAAGAATGCCCACAGTTTTTGAAACTTTTTTTGATATGTTTAGAATGTGTCCCTGGAAATTCAGCTTGTGGTCAATGAGAATGCAATGAGAATGTACCTTCTTGTATATATATAAATAAATAAATAAATAAATAAATAAATAAATAAATAAATAAATAAATAAATAAATAAATAAATAAATAAATAAATAAATAAATA